ATGATGTTTATGATGTTACTCTGAGTGTATATCCACACCGGGCGAGCTTGAAAAATATGCCCGGCTACGGTGGGAATCGAACCTACGACCTTTGGAATACTAGCCCAATGCTCTCTTATGTGACTTGACCACTATGAAACCTGCCCCATATTGAGTATATTTTTTCCCCTTAAACTTCATTTTAACGTTTTTTCCTCAGGGTCATGGGACGCGTTTTTGAAGGTATATCTTTAGCCTTTTAAAGTTTGACTGTTCCTTCTATAGAGGACCAATAAAGGCCATTCCTTATTGATCTAGTGCTACTGCAGGAGGAATTTATTTATACTGGATAACTCTATCAATTCTAAACTGTTCTCCATAGAGCGGGTCCAGTAAGGATCATCTCTTATTGATTCAGTGTTACTACAGAAGGAAACCTAAACTAAACTAAACTAACTTTATTTATACTGGATAACTCTATCAGTTCTAAACTACTCTTCCTAGAGGTCCAGTAAGGATCATCTTTTATTGATCCAGTGTTACTACAGCAAGAAACCAGAATTAAAATAACTTTATTTAAATAGTCCCGGGGATTGCTTACTTTATTTCCGATGACTATTTTCAGCCTTTGAAGGAAAAAAACATCACACTCGTTGGTGTTCGGGAAAATCTGGTGGACAAAGTTTGGCCAAATCGCCCGACTGAAGAGGCAAAGAAAGTCGCTGTTCAACCCTATAAATACACAGGTTGAGAATTTATTCTTAAATCGACCGCATGACGTATGGATTATTAATTAGTATGTAAGAAATATAATGTATTCAACGAAAATACCGCGAAACATTGTTTAGTCTGTAAAATAATTATTCAGGGAAATATTGGTATGACAAAGTAAAAGATGTGCAGAAAGAAATGAAGAAAGTTGATGCGACAGCTCATGTTGTCCAGGAGTTGGATTCCATCGCTTGTAAGTACATTTCTTAGAAAAAGAAGAAGCGGCCATTTTCCCTCCCGTCTCCGTGAAGCCCTTGGCGAGGAGAACCTTTGATAAATTAACCCATTGAGTCGCATTGCGCCCGGATGCGCCCTACTTTATTATTTTACTCTGTCTAATGCCAGACGATTTTACTCGTCAAGGGGAGAGCGCTGGCGCTTAATGGGTTAATGTCATTTTATGTTGTAGCAACTGAACTTGATCAGTAATACCGTTTTGCTCTCCATATACAAGTCACCCGAAAATAAACCTTTCCTCTTATAACCAAAATTTTGATTTAGGCAAGTGTAGACAAATATTTCATCACAGCTTGAAAGAGCATCACAAAATTAGTAATATTCCAAAGTTTCGTTGCGAAATGTTGTAATATGGGGGAAAATAGAGCCTTGCGAAGTTTGCAATTTTCAGTCATTTTAGATTACAAACGGGAAATTGCAGCCCCAACACCCGAATCGGATGTCAATTTCCCGTTTGTAATACAAAATGACTGAAAAACGGCAAACTTCGCAAGGCTATATTATCCGCATTTTACAAGATTTTGCAACAAAACTTTGGAATATTACTAATTTTGTGATGCTCTTTCAAACTGTGATGAAATTTTTGTCTAGATCGAAATTTTAGTTATAAGGGGAAAGGACCATTGGTACGACTAATTATGGCGGAATTTTGCCCACATCTATCCGCAAGAATCCCCTTGTGAATATATGGGACCGGACAAATTTGCGTACAGTACGAATTCAGACTCTTGTGAACTTTGTCTTGTTAAAATTCTTTTAGGGTTGCTAAATGTGCGTGGCAAGGAGATCCCGTACAACCCAGTGTTCTTTGCTTATGTCATCGTGACGGTGGATAAAGTACTGTAAGTGGGTTTGTTATTTTCTTCGCATTTTTATCGCAGAATGAAGCACGGTTGACGGTTATCGCGGTTGACGATTATCGCTCTGAGTTAAGCCTGCTACTGTAGAGCGAGGATATCAGCTTAGGTAGTGATAATAACACCAGAAAGCTGTGAATTGAGACGGATTCAACGACCTGAAAATACAAATAAGACTTGAGACGTCGAAGTTTTGCTTGTTTTTTCAAGGAAGTGGAATTCCTCTCAATCTATATCTTTAAAGTATTTACATTTATTGAGGTATTTACTGTTAAAGGTTGGATAACTTTCCTGTGTTTGACAAACTCGTGTACTGTATTAAAGTACAGTCTAGCTCTTCAGTGTGTCAAGGGCTGATCTTTCGCTTTCCTTCCCTCGCTTCAAATTAACATTTACTATTTGGGTTTCTAAACTCTGCTAAGGCTTCCGCTGACCTCAAAGCGGTGAACACATTTATCCAAACTCAGGATTTTTTGTCTTCGTTTATAGATTTTTCGTAAATTCTTCTAAGATCAGTGACACTGAGGTGCAGAAACATTTACAGTTGTCGACTTGTTCCGGCAAGACATATTGTATCACACAGATGGCCTACGATTCAATTGCAGATGAACTGAAGAAACTTAGTGCTGATGACACTGCTAAGATATGGGTGTGTGTATGGAGCATTAGTCCTAACCATAGCCACAGAATAAGGCACACAGAAGGTCGACTCGAGTAACCGCTGCCACGCCATGATTGATCATCAAAATGCTGACGCCATTGTCCTAGCCAGTGCGAGTTTGGCATCCCCCCTGGACGTCCGCCATTTTGAGTAATATCAGGGGGTGAATGCCTCTCAAACGCGCACTGGCTAGTACCATGGCGTCAGCATTTGATGACGAATTACGGGTTACGCCAAAATCATAGGAAAATCGTAGGAAAAACCAAGAAGTCGGCCTTCTGTGTACCTTATTCTGTGCCATAGCGGAACGTTTTAGTTGCGGGTGAATATGGCATAGTTCGTTCATGTCTGACAGCGGGCTTCGAACCTGAACAGGGCCAATCAGACAACAGCATATTTCCCTGACTATAATTTCATCTTGCTCGCTTGTGAGAAGAGTGCTTCCAGTTTGCCTCTACCAAACAGCGCAGCTTTTTCTCCGAGTATTCCGCTTTTCTCTGTTCTACACTGAACCAACACTCCAATAGGGGAATGGTATTTACTGAACCTTTGAGGAAAATAGTTTAGGTCTGATAGAGCTATCCAGTATAAATAAAGTTAGATTAGTTTAGGTTTCCTTCTCTAGTAACACGGGATCAATAACAGATGACTCTTACTGGACGTCAAAGAAAAGCAGCTAGCTAGAGGTATGCAGTAACATTAGTTTATTTAAGGACCAACGTACTAATTGTAGGAATGTAAATTCATATCTATTTCTAGTTGAGTCCGAAAGATAGTCATGCCTTGAGATTGGATGTCCCGACTGTGAGTATGATCATTCAGTGATCGGAATGTTCCGTTGTCTTTTCATTGTTTTCAAAATCTCACTGTCCTCCATGTCATCCAGTCATGATCCAGTGACTGTAATGTACCATTGTCTTTTCATTCTTTTCAAAATCTCCATATCATCCAGTCACGATTCAGTGATCGGAATGTTCCATTGTCTTTTCATTCTTGTGAAAATCCCACTGTTCTCCATGCCATCCTGTCATGATCCAGTGATCGGAATGTTCCATTGTCCTTTCATTCTTTTCAAAATCTCCATATCATCCAATCACGATCCAGTGACCGGAATGTTCCATTGTCTTTTCATTCTTGTGAAAATCCCACTGCTCTCCATACAATGCAGTTACTTATTGTGTTGATTATATTAACATTTATTTCCTCATTCTCTGTAGGAAAAGGTGTATAAAGAGTGGTCTCCTATCCGTTTAATGAAAGGCAAAAAGAACGACGTTGAATTGAAAGGAATGAGATACGCAAACGTAAGTTGGAATACTTCACGACTTTGTTCACATGGGATTCGATAAAATCGGAAAGGAGCTTCAATTTCCGATTTCTTTGGCGTTCACGTGGAACACACGAAACTGGGCGAATTGAAACAGAACATATGACACCGGATAATTTAGTACGTCTAATTTTAGCAATACTTCTTTCATCTAATTTTTATTATTTCTTACTTTCGCAGCTCAAAGACTCGGTCGCCTTGGCAGAATTCTTTTTGTACGCAGAAGAGCAGGTGAACGTTCTTGGACTGATTCTGTAGTTTTTCAATATTATGATCATTGTCACCAGCGTCATCATCACCATTATCACCATCATCTGACGTCATCATCACCACTATCATAACCTCCACCATTACCATTACACCATCATCTGATCATCATCATCAGCACTATCACCATCATAACCCCAACCATCATCATCACCACTATATCGCCATCATCACAAGCCCCACCATCATCATCACCTGATTACAATTGCAAGGCCCCAGCTTAATTGTTTATCTTAATGCCAGTATTTTGATAACTGAATGTAATGTTTATGATGTTATAAAGGTGAAGAAAAAAGCAAAGATTACTGAACTCTCGTTGGAAAAGAAAATGGAAGAATTCCGAAGGTTAGTAAACTTTAATGAATAATTGCATTCGTAAAAATATTTAAATTATTTGAACTAAGTATGGGTTGCATCCAAGAGGTTGGTTGAAGAATATCACGGCATGAGAAAATATAAAAAATATGTCATCTGAAAGTGAGTTTGCCAGTAAGTGAGTTTT